TTGTCCAGGTTAGTACCATAACCTCACAGAAGACCGGCGTGAAGTAAGTGTTATTATACTATTGTCTGCTTTTCGTCTCGTGAGTGAGGTAGCCGGGGCCCACTCTTTTAAAAAGTGGCAACGCATCTGCAACCTGGGCGGCAGTTATCACTTCACATCAGGTGAACCACGATGTCGTTTGCCACTTTATAGCATAAAAAAAATATAACCATACTAAGAAAAATGGCCGATTATACTACTAAGTCTTCTGTATAGTCTAGCGGAACTTATGAATGTGATCTGTAAAGCCATGTAGTGTCGGGTCAACCTAGCTCTGGTTTTCTGAGCTGTTCTGACAATAGGTTTACGTGTTGAGATATACAACTGTCTATGAAAACTTTCAAGCTCTTTCAAAATTTTCCCGAGATGATACTGCCATCCTCGATCTTACCTCTCGCTAAGACCAGGGATAGCTGAGTCTCTTCAATTTTCTTCTTCTTAAATATGTTTATTTAAATTTGTGTCAGCGCATACTGGAATGACAACAGCGACGACGAGACGCAATCCTGTCCATCGATAGCCACGACCACGCCACGCCAAGAGTGTGCGACTAAGAAGAATATTCTTCTTGAAATTTCAACTTACTGCTATAGTACCTTTTTTGTATTAATATTTAAATACGTTAACATTCGTTGTGATGCTATGACTAAATAGATTTATTTATTTACTCATATTACCATCACCTCATCATAATCATCATTTTAGCCTGCAAGCGTCTACTGCCGAACATAGGTCTCCTCTAGGGATTTTCACTTCGATCAGAGACACGCGATCTCCACTCGAGAACCTCAGCGCCCCATCGGCCACATAGCTCGCAGAAATAAATAGATAAATCATATATTTGGTTATGTTATCAATATACTCGAGTACCTATTACTTAATGCTGAAACTAACCATCCATTAAAGTTAAATCTTGATAATCTAAATACCAAGTAACATTGAACGGCTGACAATACCCAACATTAACTTAAAATCACTTTAATAAAGAAACAACTACGCTCACTTGTAAATTCATATTCTAAACTAAAGTAATAAGTGATTCCAGAATTTTCCTTTCCTAAATTTTTGGTGCTGAAACGAAACACGCGGGTCGTAACAATAATCCACACAACGCCAGAGCTCGAGCGCTTATTAGTGATTTCCCAACGGGAAGGGGGTGTAACTGCGCAATGGAATTATTCCGTGCGAATTTCACATTCTGCCATTTGTGAGGCCCCGCAAAAGCTCCTTTTAATTCTATGTATTTTGTGTATTTACGGTATTTTATTAATACACTTGATATATCAACAAATAATCCATATCTAATACGCTTATATTGCAGCCAGACTACTCAGTATAAAATGTTACTTACACCAACATAGTGACGGCGGCAATAGCCCCGTTTGGTTCTATATATTTTGAGAAACAGGGATTTCCAGTTTTTTTTTAAACTTGATCCGCCCACTGTTTAGGAGTACGGCCTCTAGGTCTTTTACCCTCTATTTTCCCCGTTTTATTACAATTATGTTTAATTTTATCGAAATATGCACAGACCGATGAGTTTTCAATATGAACTTTGACTAGTATGGTTTTCAGATGTCCGTACCGATAGGATAAAACGGGACTCTATTACTAAGACTCCGTTGTCTGTCTGTCTGTCCATCTGGCCGTCTGGCCCAAGGCTGTATTTCATAAACCATGATAGCAAGACACTTGAAATCTGAAATCTCTTCACACACATATCGCAAACCTACTGTTTTACATGTATCATCGGCCTCAATAAATTACAGAGAGAATTCCTTCTTTATTCGAGCAGGAAGATTTTATTATTTTTAACACGGTAGTTAAGCTAAGCAATACAACCTTGACTTATGTATAAGTTCTGACAATCAGATTACAAGACTGCTTAGCAACGCTTTTTTTTTTAATGAGTAGGTAATATATTTGTGTAAATTTTATAATAATTGTCAATGCAAGCTCAGTGTCCGTTATTCTTCATTGTATGCTTTTTTACTTTTATACTTATCTAAATGTGGAAACTTTTTATCTGCTAGCTGTTAGTTTCCCTAAAATTATAAAATAAAAGAACATGAAATAAAATAAGTGTTGTTTAATTTTTATTTTTAATACTAGTTATTTATGATGATTGATAAAGTATAATACGATACGTAAATGTTACATCAATACACGCAAAAACCTGTGTTGGTTGGTATTATCGGCACTTCATAAAAAAGTTTTCCCAGCGACAGAACCTGCAGGGCTAAGGGCAATTAGCCCAGTAACTGTTTATCTACGCGAGGCAATTTCGCTTGAACACCCATCCTTGCGGTACAAGGTTGAGTCAATTAAAACTCGGATCAGTTAAAAATCCAACGGTTTTCCACTAGTCTAAAATAGAAGTGTTATTATGACGAATTGTGTTTTATCATATGGACTGGAAACAAGTGTAAAAGATTAAGGTTCATTTCCTGTCAAATAATGTGTGGATTGCCACATCCTAAAAACATTTTTTTTATGTAAAAACGTGGCAAACAAGTTGGCGGCTCACCTGACGTTAAGTGATAAGCGCCGCCCACGGACATTTGCAACACCGGTTGCAGATGTGTTGCCACCTTTTAATAATATGTGCCTCGGCTACCTCACTCAGACGAAACGCAGACGTGTAACAATTCTACTTTGCGCCGGTCTTGCGTGCACTAGCGAATACTGTTGCGTGGTCCGACCACAGTAGATTTCGAAGATATTGTAGTTTTAAACTTTCTATTTTTACTTTTACTCTTCTCGAATCCTGATTCATACAATACCGCGCGTATTAGATTAAATTTGTAAACAAACCTTGAATATCCCGTTCACATAATAAATAAAGAAATGCGTCACATGGAAATGTAAGAATTTATTACATTATTGATTTCCCTGTAGATACGAATGGAAGTCGCATCGGAGCATTTTTTCCGTACACTTATACGTACATATTTATAAATACGGGGGATAATCTCATATAATATTAGATACATAAAAAAATATTGTAATCAAATGTTGACTTCACGGTTTAATATTGAAAAAAATCTGTACTTTTTTATGTGAAAAGTTGCCAAGCGAGCAAACGGTTCAACTGATGTTAAGTGAATACCGCCGCCCATGGACATCTGCTACACCCGAGTGTTCCAGATGCGTTAAAAACCTTTTGAAAATTGGGCTCCGGCCACTTTACGCCGGTCTTTTGTGAGGTTGTGGTACTTACCCGGACGAGCCTGCCCATTCGTGCAACAGCCGAGGCTGCTGCGTGGCCCTACCACCGTAAAGTTATTTGTCCAATACTTTTGTTATAAAAACGAAAAATTTTATTTAATCCAAGTTTATTCTAACAATAATAACCACATATCACTAACATTTAAATATAAAAACATTAACATAATTTTAATAATTTCGATTGTCATTTATGTAACAAACAGAAGATTAAGTACAACATGTATTTCATGAAATCAGTACCTTATTGAAATGCGTTCAAATTTACATTACTTTTCACTGCATTTATCTAGCAGAAAATTGCCTTATGATCTTAATTTCAAGTTGGGCACCGTGGTCATAGGCGAAATCATTATAACTATGGTTAAGTTAAATAATAATAAAGGTAATTATTCGAAGATAGTAATAAACCTTCTTTGTGGTAAAAAAAATTTTGTGATGATTTAATTTTTAAGTACTACAGCTGGCGCAAGACCCTGCTGATTAAAGCCTCGGGGTCCTGGTCCCCATTGCTAGTGCGTAGTCTCGACCCGCAGAAGCTAGTCGGCGGTGAGAATGCCCAACGACCATCCCTTACTCTTAAAGCGGTAGCGGCACTAGCAGGGTGTACACGGCCTTACTCTCGTGGTGTAAAGCGAAAACGACGGTGTCTTCGACACCACGGAGCTGCGGTCGGCTCCGGCTGCCCATTGACCCATCCCGACCGCAATAGCTCTCGTGGGAGTGGGCGTCCATCAGGAGGACGGGCGTTAGAGTTGCGGTGTGATGCTGGTATGGATGTGGCCCGTCGTCGGCTCTGTCGTCCAAGCAACGAGACAAACGGACCAAAAACTCCTCGATGGACTCCACTCTTAAGTTGCGGACTATTACGTCGTTCCTGATGTAACGCCCAGCCCCCACGATCGCTGGAAGGGCGAGGTTCTGCTACGCCTGGTGCCTGTGCCTTTGCGAGGCGGAAAACAGACCGTATCACGCCGGAGCCGCCGAGCAAACGTACGTCTTATAGACGCCGATTGTTGTCTTTATCGGTAACGTGGATGCCAGAATAGAGTGGCTCGAGCTGCTCAGGCTTGCCGAACGGAGTGTTCAACCTGTGGAGCCATACACAGCGAGCGGTCAATCTGACACCCAAGGTACCTTATGTTGTTCTCGTTGGTAATCGCTTGACTTGCAGCGCAAGCGTGGGTTGGTTGATGATGTGTGGAATCTAGATAGTTTAGGGTTTTGTCGACGTTGACAGACATCCGCCACTTTTCCAGCCACTTGGACAGCAGGTTCAGTTAACGCTGCATCTTCCTCGCCGCATCTGCTGCGTCGTGTGAAGACGTGAAAAACGCACTGTTGTCTGCGTAGCGTAGGGCCAACAATACATCTTCATCCCAGTTAGAGGCGTTTTGCTCCAAGGCGGGAATATCGTTTGTGTACACTGCATACAGGTGCGGCAGAAAACTACGTTGAGGTACACCGGGTTTGATGCATCGTAATACCGATTCAGCTCTCACGATGTGTACAATGAACTATGTTTTTTTTTGATGAATAGAAACATGTATAATGTTCTTGGACCAATAACACAACAGTGTTCACACTACACAATGTATGTTAAAATTAATCAATGTTTTTATGTAACATAGTGTTAAGGATGCATAGATTACATAATGTTATTTATTATCCTAGTATATTTTACTAAATACAAGAGAACCAGCCACAACTTTTCAATTGAAAGGAAAAAGGCTTTATCCAGATTGTACTTTTTCTTCGCTTCGAACCTTAACTAGTCTGCTGTTAATCCTAGGCTCTAAACGCACCATATAGTTGTCCACATTTCTCATCATGATGTCGTACTTGACCCTCAGTGGCTTTCGCAACTCCTCGGAGCTCATTGCCGTTGGCGGCAGCAGACGGTACCTCCGCAGTACAGTTGCCAGAGCAGTCTTCATCACCATCATGGCATATTGATATCCTTAACAAGCCAATTAAAATTTTTTATCTATCTAAAAAATAAAGTACTAGTAAAGTAAAAGTGGTTTAGGGAGTGGTTTAGTTGTTCATCTCTCAAGACAGAATTCGCGCCAGTAATGAAATTTATAACAAAATCTTTACCTTGCCTTTAAGATTGCGAATAAACGTCTTACAAAAATATCTGCTCTCAAGATAAGGTAGATGGCTCTTCCACTTTTTTTAAAAAGTAGAAATTTTTGTTCAGTATATCCACAATTTCGCAGTCAAGCCAGTTTTTTTTTTTATAAAAATAATCTATCCCTTAATCTTGGGTAAAATCATAACAGTGATTTACGTGCAGATGTTGGATAGAAGCAATTCAGTAATAGCACTTATGTAACACTGTAGATCCGAAACTGTTAGAGCACTTTTGCTTTGACTAGGAGCAAATCGTAAATAAGATTCATAACGATTTTCAAAAGATCTGATGAGCTTAATTGAAATTTATCAAAAACTTATCATTTGCACGTGCGCACTCATAAAAAAAAATATGTTTGAATTTCAACTTCAGAAATAGTTACCGATTGTTATCCACAGTGAATAAATAAAATACACTCAAATCTGATCGATAAAGATAAGAATAAGTAAATAATAATAGCAGACGAATGGATGATAAAGATACGAATAAATTGATTAATAAACGAATGTAGGAATGAATAAAGATTGAATATTAATTAGATTTAAATCAGAACTCGTTTACCTAGGCAATTCCTAGAGCCGTAGCTGAAGGGCATAAACGCCGCAGGGTGCTGAAGTGGACCCTCCAAGAACCGTTCAGGCTTAAACTCTTCTGCGTCCTTCCCCCAGTAGAGGGGGTTACGATGCAATGCCCAGATGTTGATTACGACACCAGAATCTTTCACCAGCGTTAGTCCCGAGGCTGGAAATAATGTAATAACTTAAGGCGAGCAATTCCTGTACCATGGTTAGAGCCTGCGCGAGGCTGTCCATTCTTGCGTACTCAGTGAAATAACATTTTCTGATTAAATAACTTTTCACCATATATATTTTTCTATATATCTATATTTTTATTCATATGGCTATACAGATTTTACATTCCCTTTGACCTAAACTGAAAAACGGTACAACTTTTTCATACTTACGCAGGGTAACATCTTTGTCTAATTTTCTTGCTATGATCGGTACCGGCGTATACAGCCTCATGGACTCCCGTATCACAGCCTCCAAGTATTTTAGTTTGGGTAGATCTCCTGGGACAACGGGTTTATCTGAGTCTCCGAAAGCTTCGCATAACCTGCAACAAACAAAAAGTCATTGGTTTAAACCGTTACGCAGAACTATTACAGTTACATGTATATATAACGAATTATAAGGTTTTGATAACTTTGTACTTTAAGCTCCCATTTGTAAACATAATTTTTCTAACTTTCTTTATTAATTACTTTATCCACATCTACGCTGGCGTGGCGCTTATCAAAATTAAGCTATTAATTTTTATATTATTAAGAATGCACTATAAGTACGTTAATCAAGCGCAAATTTTATGCTCATTTCTTTTATTACCATCCTTTTAATCGTCGCGGCATTATGAGGGAAAAATAAATTTGCATACAAACTTTTTACGTGTCTCATCTGAATTACATTACTCATTATGAAACCAACCGTCGAAAAGTTATACAGGGTGGAAATTTGGTCCTCGACTATGTCGTCAGGACAATTACCCATAAACATACTCACTCCTCAAAAACCTTTTCCTGAACGTCCATATATCTGGACAGCACTACGGAGGTGAACGCGGCACCAACAGCCGAAGTGTCGGTGCCGGCCAGCACTATAACGAGGGTTTCTTCGCGGAGCTCGTTATCGGTAAAACCGTGCTTGCCGCCAGACGATTCAATTATCAGGTCCAAGAAAGGCTTGAAACTACTTACAGCTGCAATACGATATCATTATCAGTTTTGATTATTCATTGTAATTATAAGCCTTATCCTTTTAGTGTGTAATCCTTTCAGTGCCAGATAGAAATATGTTTTGGTGGAAACAAATATCGATTGTGGCTCAGGATCATGCTTCATGGCAGTCTTAGTTCAGCAGTGGACTAGATCGAAGGAGATACCGGCTGAAACGATGTTGATGTTCCTAATATTACAAGTTTAAAAAAAATAATGGGTACAAATAGCTTTTCAGGATGGTTGGATGTCGATATTGTGAATATATTACGGACTTATCAATATTCTAAATATCAATTTTATTATTACGATACATGTTTTCTTACCACAGTTGACTTATTTCAATTTAACAAATTACATGTCATTGGAATATATTTTTGGGTTTAATCCAATTGTGCAATTTTAATTCCCTTTACGTGAGCTACCTTTGTTATATTAACTTAGATTTTCTATTCAAACTATAGTGAATAACAAAACACACATAATTATGTCGATTTTAAAATAAGCTACATAATTCTATAAACAATTTTATTTACAAGATAAGAAAGGAATCGGTTTCCTTAAAGCCTTCCTTCGATTTTTTTATTTTTATTTCTGCGAAACTTTCTAATCACGATAGTGTCACTAGCACTTAACAAGCTATATTTCACTAACGTGGTCTTTATTTTAAATGTAGACTTCAATATTATCTTTATTATACAATAACGACATCTATTAGAAAAAGGAGTCAGTTTTATACAGTTTGTGTACTTCAATCTGATTTCAGTCCATCAATATTCCGTAAGATGTCGCTTTCAAGGACTATGTTTTTTCAAGAAAACTTGTTCAGAGGTCAACGGCAAACTTAAATCGACTATGAATACATTAATATTTCAAATACATGCATTAGTATTTTACTAAAATAAGTGTCTGTTGTCATTGCAGGTGTCTATCTAAGAATGTTTAATTATTTGTGACATTGTAAAACATACGGCGAGCTAAGTTCTCTCCGTATGTTTTACATAACATTTTATGGTTTCACGGCAAATGCATTAAAACTTATTTATCTATTTTGCAGTCGTAGCTTTTACGAAATTTACAATACTAAAGATTTCATTAAAAGACGAGATATTTATAATGTGATTTCACGATGGATGGAAAGTGGTCAAAACTCGTTGGATTCTCAACCAAAACATTCGTGATGGAAATCAACATTCGATTCTCACCCCATGTGTATTTACCTCAACGATTACCGTATAAGAGATTACCGATAATAGGAATGCTTTTAGAGATGCTTGAGCAACCTGTGTTCGATCCCCGGTGCCGGCACCATTGAACTTGTTAATTTTAGATTTAAAATTTTTCACATATAGGCTGATACTTTGATACCAAGTTATTTAATTAAACTGTTATCATTTTCGTTTAATGTCTTATTCACAAACACAGAGTACCGGCACAGCAGATAAAATATTTAGCTATATTTCTTTTCTAACGCTTACGTATGTACACACATATTTTTTATAGTAACGGGTAGTTAAATTAGGTTAAGCTTCTAATTACTAACATTTTTAGACAACAAAAAAGTTGATAAAATTTATTGAGAATAGTTATATAATTTTGTGCCTATTCATGTTTATAATAAAGACGCTTTTGTCTTCTTCTTCTTTCTTCTGCCCTTATCCCACACTAGGTGGGGCGGCACAACATATCCTTTCCTTCTATTTTCTTCTTTCAGCCGTCATCTCAATATTCACCCCTTTCACAGACATATCATTCTTCACACAGTCCATCCAAATCTTTCTCGGTCTTGCTCTAGCTTTTCATCCTCCAACTACATTCATACTCATCACTCTAAGGGGCCGTCCATTAATCACGTGAGGCTATAAAATCACGAAATATCACTAGGGGGGCGGGAGGGAGTAGAAAGATATCAATTTTTTCGTTAAACGCACGATTTCTGCAACCAATCTGAAAAGCAGTGTATGACCTTGAATCTCTGATGGTTCTTAATTTCAACATAAAATTAGATTATACTCTAAACCTGTATTTAAAGATAATATTCAAAAATTTTTAAGATTCTTCGTAGGTACTAAAAAACACGTGATCCATGGACGGCCCCTAGTCACTACACAATGAAATAACCGCATGTTTCTGAAAATATGTATATATATATATATATACATATATACATGTAATTATTGTCTAACAACAAACGTACTTACCTTCGTCAGATGATGCCATTTGTCTCTGTTCGTTTCTTTTCGCTCTGACCACCTGTAAAAATATTACTATAGTAAAGACTTAACTAAAGTTCTATAAATTGACACCGATTGACTCTAACATAAATGTGACTCTAACATCTATGTTTCATTTTTTAACATATCTTACTCCTGTTCAGATGTGCTTGTGTGATAGATATTAATTCAACGATTTAAATATCCAACCAAGCATATGATTTGTTTAGCCCATCAAAAATCAAAATCAAACCTTTACTCATTATAGAAGCATTACACATTCTTATTGATTGTCAAAACGCTACCACCAGTTCGGTTGCGGGTAAAATTAATTTGTGTTTGTTCCTTATATTTATATCATGTACATTCGCATGTCTTGAAAATTCATTTTTGTTTTTATACATAACATACATAACATTTTCAAGTATGTACTGAGAAGCAACAGTCAATAATTTAATCTATTTGAACAAATTTCTTAGTGATTCTTTGGGGCTCAGGTTATAAACCGCTCGAATAGCTCTCTTTTGGAGGACAAAGATAGTATTAATATCAGCGGCGTTTCCCCAAAGTAGAATGCCATAAGACATTTTACTGTGGAAATAACTAAAATATACTAAACGAGACGTATCTATATCAGTTAGCTGTCTTATTTTTTTAACCGCGAAGGCTGCTGAGCTAAGTCTACTCGCCAGCTTATTAATATGGGGGCCTCACTGCAGGCGTACTGGCGTCTATAGTTATGTCAAGGAATACAGTCGTTTCAACAAGGTCAAGTGCTTCCCCATGTAATAGTACATCAGTTTTTACATGTTTCATATTTGGATTCGTTTCAAATTTGGTTTTTTTTATTGTTCAATAGTAAATGGTTTGCACTAAACCAATGCACTGATAGGGTATTGTTTACATTGTCATTTTTTAAGGAATGTCGCTAAACTTTAAAAACTAAAGAAGTATCATCAGCAAACAATACTATGACATGATTATGATCAACGAGATAAGGCAGATCATTTATATAGATGAGGAAGAGAAAAGGCCCAAGAATAGATCCCTGTGGGTCCCCATACTTACCAGGGCCCCGGGAGATCACGCATCTTGTTTATAGACTCAAGAACAGTGGTAGCGGTTTTGTATACTAGATTCCCATATAATGATAATATAGCTCTCTATACCTATTTCGTTAACATTAAAAGACATGAACTTTTAAACAGCAAGTTATACATGCCCCGTTAAGCGTTCCCTTACTTCCATATTATACTCACATTATGAGCGGTCATTGCTCATTACAATTACCTTATCCACGTAATCGCATATGTACTTTTTGTTCTTCTCTAACTTGACGGAGTCCGGTAGTAACTTGTACAGGGCCTCTATTCGCAGCCACGGCTGGCACATGCGGGCGGCAATCAGTTCGCAGTATTCGTCGAACGCATTCAAGAATGGTGTGTCTGGTTGCGTCTGCGCGTTCACTTTCACACCGAGGGCCGTTTCTGATTTGCAATGAGCTATTAATCTCAAATTTTTAAAGAGAATTTGCGACACCACCCAATACGAAAGTCTTGAAAGCCAAAGGGATTTAATATTAAATAAATGTTGGATAAATTTTACTTTGTTACTCTAAGCAGATCATTTCATTTTATTTTTTTTTAATAATTTTGCCCTTACTTTAGGATAACTTTATCCTGTCTTGTAAGGACGTTTTCCAAACATATATTTCACATGAACAAACACCCAGATGCAACTCTCTGTGGATAACACAAATAGTTGTGCCATGTGGGGTTCAAACCCACGACCCCCGACGGCGAAGCCAATATTTTAGCAACTGCGCCACGGAATCTGTCTGCCGTCACTTGTTTTTTTTTTTTTTTTTTTATTATTAGGATAGCAATAAAGATTAAACCATTAAAAATTACACGCCTACGCATACCGCAAACTGAGTCCATCGTGAATGTGGTGAAATACTTCCAAATCGAGAACGGTCCTTTCCCTGCCATAAGACCTAGTTGGTCTGCCAATACGCTGCTCTGCTGTGAAAACACCTCCACGAAAGCTTGTAGGTTCCGTTGCGAGAAGGTGGGTGCAACGACCTTGCGACGGGGCCGCCAAATCTTCACTACAAGAAACGTCGAAATAAACATAGTATTAAAACATACACAAATGTGCTACAACTAAAATCAGGTGTCAATGTCATTTATTTATGTATTTATTCATAGCATCACTAAGCAGAATGAAAACGTATTTAAATATTGTTATAACAATCAGTTGACATTCCAGCAAATTATTTATACATTTAAGAATATAAAAATAACGACAAGAATATGTTGAAAAAATAAACACTCGAAATGTGTTATGTATAGTGAGAAATTTTTACACTCCAAAAGAATGAATAGTTAACCAGCGGTCAACCAAATGGTAACTAAGAGCTTCGGTCAAGGGCAGTCACATCACCAGAGATGTCGCAAATGCGTTAACACGCACCAAGCGTATGGGGCTCCGGTTGTTTCAATAATATTCCGCTATCGTAAATATTCTTAGTTTGAGTTTAGACTCGATGAAAAATAAGGGCCTATAATACGACCTTAAAATGTAGTTCAACTTGTTACATTTCCTGAACATAAGACACCGTTATTTTCTGTTGCCAATAACTCTAATACAAAATCCATACCCGGTGCAAATATGCTTCCATTTTCAAGTAGGTGTTTTAGAACTTCCGTCAAATGGCTCTTTTCTAAACAGGTCTTCACAACAGTCTCCGCTATAGCTGCATCGGCGATTACTGAAAACCACAATACTCCTTTGCACAACAATGAAGATACGACAGAATACCTAACAGTACCCGCCTCATTCGATTGGAGCCTATTTTTTATGCGAGCAAGTACACAAAATGCCATAAAAGTTACGAAATTATTAACGAAACAAATCCAACTAATCACAGTCCTGTGCAGAAGCTGGCCAAGTTTTCTAAATTGTTTCAAATAACATATAATAAACTAAACAAGCTATACTTTTAAACATTCTTCTGTTTCCTACATCAAATTTATTCTTCGATATTGACTGTGGAAATAAATTAATTGCAGCAATTCCAGATATTTGTAATATCTAAACAGTCCAGTTAGCGTACTGACTACTTTATGAATTCTAAAACTAAGACGTAGAAGTATACATACGTTGAAGGAAGAATAGAAAACATATTGAAAAAAAGCGAAGTGAAACAAGAAATATAAATTGGAGATGAATATACTTAAAGCATATTTGCATACTAATAACTTACAAGTATAGTAGTCGTTTCCAAACCACAAACTGGTAACTCCATTGTTCTTGATCGCTTCCAAACCAAAAGTTTTGAATGCGGTCATTCGATCTGAAAACAAGTTATGCCGTTCACAACATAGTTATGCATGTCTACACGCCTTTTTTATAAAGCATAACCGGTTCATAATTGTAGTATTTATTCCCAGGCCATTACAAATGTCTTACAAATATAGAAGATATAACAACAGAATTATTTATTTATTTAATTTTACACCTTACATCTAGCATTACAGGAAATAATTTATACTAATTCGCTTGAAGTAGCATTAAATTAATATGTTATAGTTAATTGTATTTAATTTATCCCTAATTGAAATGAATTTTAACAAACCCTATATTATTTATGTAAAGTACATAAGCCATTTATTATTTATATATATATATATATATTGCAATGATTTTTAATTAGCATCATCATAACTTTTATGAAAGTGACCTTCAAATACCTTCATTGGTTCCCGTGAACATGTAACCATGTCCGACAAAGGGTAAAGATGGATATTTATTTCTTATATAATGCGAAAGATATAACACTCTTCTGATTCTCCATCTTTTAAAGAGTACCCAAATTACTAAGGTAAAAACAGTAAATACTTGGAACGTCATTTCCAATCAAGAACTGAAAGAATTGTTTATTACGAAATGGTTTTCGCGCAAGCACTCAGTGAAATGAATTTAAATATTTGAATGAATGGGTTTAAATATTTTTAATAATAATATACACTAGTACAATGTATTACAATGTATGAATGTAGCACTTAAGATAAAATAGATCACGATTCCGATATAACTGTTTAATCCTGAGTAATCTGTGACAATTTATCAGCAAAATAGATTTTGTAGACAAAACGCTGAGAAAAGTTTTCAATACGGAATTTAATAATTAGAGAATATAATTAAATTCATGAAATATGTTAAAACATGTAAAATATATCTATTTGTATAGAACATTAACGACCTCGTCACATGGTATGACTAAAATTATTTTATAACTCCGTGGCGCAGTTGCCAAGGTATTGGCTTCAGCTTCGGGGGTTGTAGGTTAGATTCCCACACGGGACAACTATTTGTGTGATACACAGATATTTGTTGGTCATCTGGGTATTTGTCCACGTAAAATTTATGTATGTAAAACGTCCTTGCAACACAGGTTAAAATTCAGTTTCTCAATGGTCACGAAACAATATTCTGATCACTGAGTGTGTTCACATTTTTAATTTCATACTTACTGTCACCTCAGCTTTCTGATTATTTATTTGCAAGCTTACGAAGTATTTATTTGCGTCCAAGCATTACATTTTATAAAAGACTCAATTCCGAAAGGGATACACTAAGGTTTATACAAATAAAGTTATTTCTTGTACTTTAATAATGAGTGAAGAATAATGAAAACTGACCCTGCTTGCGGCTCGGTTTTCATTAGCGATAATATGATGTAAATCTAATCTAATTTTATGATCGGGTGCTCTTAAATAATAATCTAAAACAAGCATCATCCTTATTCAGCTGCCAGAAATAGTCAGCTATTTATTTTTTACTTTAGTTTTATAGACGATTTTATTCAAAATTTAAGTCTGCTTTCACATGCGCCAGTCTACGTGAATTAATATTTACTTTCGTAAGCATGATTCTAGAAGCCGGATTGTTGAGGTAGAATTGTTGAATTGAAGGCAGAAAAGAGAGTATATATCTCTCCTATTAAACATTTTGTTGTTATAAATCTTTTATCTCATGATATTCAGAGCGCATTACATCTTTTTGTCGATGAATTGCAAATATATGCCAATGGAACTGTCGATAGCCTTTCAGAATTGATTTCTCAAGTTAACCAGGAATTAGTAATATCAGAAATGTCGATATTGACAGTTCCACAAATAGTTTAGGAGAACTATCCCAGTCCTATCAGCCAAAACGCGAAAAATCTCGATTTGACATTGAGCTGCCAAAAAGAAATTAAAAATGTCAGTCAAATTCACTGAAGGAATAATAAGGCTTATGCAGGCCTTGACTTCCCCATTTAATCGACTATAGTGACCTATGCTACTTTGACCTGAATGCAGATCACATCTTCAATCTTCGTAAATATGACGAGTGTGTGTGTCGGTGTACCGTTGTCAACTGTAGTGATTACACTAAGAGGTTCACTAAGAGCTACTGCTACTCTTTATTCTTTCCTTAACTCTCCTTGTACCCCATCTTATCTATCTCTTCCATTTCAATATCTCTCTTCTAAAAATAATAAAAACCAACGCTCGCCTTATAATCAATCGCCTTTTCTTTTAGTTCAGACATTCTTCTTTCTTTATTCACTCCATCTTTCTGTTGAATGCATTACCTCTCGAAATCAAGATGGCTAAGAGTCAAAATTCTTTTATTAGCAAAGTTCGTGAACATATTTTTAAAAAACTGTCAGCAGAATCAGTTCATCGTTAATATTCGTGGTATGTTTATTTAATTTTTTATCTGAGAAAATTGCAAACGAGCTGGCAGTTCACCTGACATTAAGTGATAACCGCCACCCAAGGACATTTGCAACACCCGTAGGATTGCAGATGCGTTGCCACCTTCTAATGAAGTGGGCCCCAGCTACCTCACTCCCCAGACGAAAAGCAGACGTATGACACTACCACTTTATCTCACTTTATCGCCGGTCTTCTGTGAGGACGTGGTACTTACCCGAAAAGACACGACAAGACATAAGTGAACACTATTGCGTGGTCCTGCCACATTCATTAATAAAAATATAAAATATAATTATAGTATAGTATTTTATAGTATATAGTAATGTATTTTATAGTATTTTCGTATTGTATTATACAATATAACTTTATTGTTTTATTGTATATAGCATAAATGTCAATATATATATTTACATTTATTATTTAGTTCATAAATAATCTTTTATTTATTATAATTTTCTGTGCACCCACATTCGTAACTAACCACAAAACTTAATGGTTTTTAATACGTTTATTTTTCTCTTCTTTTATTAAAAAAAAATTACTTCAAGTCAATAGAAAATTTTATTCCATTTTAAAAAAAAAATGTTCTTATCTATTTAACTACATTATTGTGCGTAAGTTCAATTATTTTAAGTAATTTCGAACATATTTAAAATCTATATTTGCATTAGTCATTCTATTCAATTTTTTATTCAAATTTTGTCACTTCATCGTATGAAAATTATTAAGTGGACACTATATTTTTTTATCGATGTCATGATGACGTAATAGTTGCAGTCAAGAAATAGTAAATTTTACCTATAAATTCGTGCAAAATAGAATTTTTTACATGCGGCAAATTATACAGATTTGAAATTTCTAGTCGGAATCAGCGCACCCTGTACACTACATAGACCTATGGCAGATGGCAACTATTATATCAATAAAAAAATAATTAATGTAAGATTTATTTATGTTAACTAATTTCAATTATTTTATAGACTTATAATGATTTAATTGAGATTTTATCTAAAATGTTAAACGCAGTTGACCAGTTATAGCCTATTCAGTCTTGCCTTGAAGACACTCATATCAGAACCGTCTTCCTCAATTATTCACAAGGGTCTCGCCCCAAAGCATTAGTCCATATTTTCGCTGAAGCAATCTGACCTTTTTCTTCGTGTATGCAAAATTAATTTAGAAATATGTTAGTCGTAATTGATTTAAGATTTAACTAAACAACATTGATACCAGGTGTTTATTTTAAGGCCACTCCATAGAAGACTTCGGATGTCAATAGGAATTTAAAAAAGAATAACTCGCTACAAGTGTTTGCATTACTTCCTAAACATTGCAACAACTTGATAGTTGTTATTGCTATGGGTAAAATAAGGTCTGTAATGAAAATCTAATTACTTATTCAATTTTTCTCTATTTATTACAGAACTTCTTGCTAAATTAGTAATATGAGGAAGGCTAGTGAATTAAAAAATATATACAGGTTTCTTTAACCTCTATCTTTTTTCACAATTTACTGTTGAGATTTTTATAACAGGATTGAACTTGTTCCCTCTAGCCTATCTTATGAATTATTAATGACATTTACATATTTATAAAGGGTCTTTTATAGCATTATTCCAAAATTGATTGAAATAACTATTTTCGTAAAAAATAAACAACTGGCTAGTGATTATCCTACTTGATAATAAATAGAAACTTAGTAGTGGTTGTATCTCTACATAGTATAAAACAAATTCGTCCGGCTGTCTGTCTGTCCCTATGTATGCTGAGATCTTTAAAACTACGCAACGGATCTTGATGCGTATTTTTTTTACTAGATGGTGATTCAACAGGAAGGTTTATATTCTTACTTCCTTACTATAAAGGCGAAAGTTTGTATGTATGGATGTATGTTTGTTACTCTTTTAATGAAACTTTACAATAATATACTTTATACACTAGAATAAGACAAAGGCTATAATTTATATACATATTTTATGTATATCTGTTTTTCCGTCTGAATGTTACGCCTTCAGCCTATTCTACGCAGACGTAGTCGCGGGCAGCAGCTAGTGTATAATACATTGGACCTGTGCAAAACCGGGGCGGTTTGCTAGTTTTTCATAAACTTCAACCCTGCAGGAGCACGTGGTTTTGTGGTTTTTTATGTAAACATGAAAACAACATGTCATCGTTGGAAAGTAAAAGTTACTTAACCGTGAAATGACAAATTTGGCGGTTAAGTAATTTTGCCTTTCCAGTGATGATAATGTAATAGTGATTAACGTCCATGTTCTTTTCACTTGTATGAATTTGTATCATACGCCAATGGCACATTGATAAAAACAACAAATCAGTAAATTATTACTGTTCATAATCTCCGTAAATGACGTGAATCCCCATTAAATGCAGGGGATCAGTATCAACGGAGACATATATTCATACCTTTATTGGTGCCGTTTAACTTGTGTTCGCGTCCCACTCTTACATGCCAAAATATACCACATTCTGTATAGCACTGGACAACCCGATGAACCGTCGCTAATCGCGGACAATGTCGAAACCGTTATCGAAATACCTTCATCAGAGCCGCTGAACATGTAGCCGTGGCCAACTAGTGGATACGCGCGAAACTTGTTCTTCAATTTATTTGAGAGTCTCAAAATCCTCCGTCTCCTCCACACGTACCACCCGAAACACGTAACCACCGCCGCGAACAATAATTCGATCAGCATTTTGTCCTTATCCCGAACACCTTGCGTCGAACTTGACGTTGGCGAAATGGAACCGAAATAATGCCGGTGGAACGGGACGGCCGTATTTAACACTGGACCCGTGTATACGAGTGTAAAATTTTAATAGTAATAATGCTACCGCCACACTGCGCAAAAAATCTGTTGCAGACGGGTATGCACACACACTAAGAAGCCTATGCAAGTTACTCGTATACCGCGATTAAATCGGAGATTATAAATTTTTGTGCAATTTAAAGCTTTAACTTATTTTAATTTTGCCATTTTTATAAATGTCAAATAGTTCACTCCATTAATGATCACGAATCTTTTGAAGGGAAGAGTATTTATATCATATAGATTAATTGTATTATTTAATTTAATCTTATTCGATAGGCCTGAGACTACAAGGCTAACGGGGTGCCACGTCCGTTTCTGCCTGCCCGACACTTCCTTTCCGAGTGGTATAGTACATAATATTCAAGTTTTACAAATGTAACTAAAACATGAATATTCAATCTCCAAATTATATGTACATTTTACAATAATTTATCAATAAGGTTATTTAGTTTATTTTTTATAGCTGTGGAAACATTTTCTAAAGTTGTTAAATCTCCGCAGATGTGGCCGCAGCGTATTGAATTAATTAAGATTTATATTTTAACAATGAATTGCGAGAATCGACACGGTAGACGCATTCTTTTTTTTTTTTTTTTTTTGTTTGGAACAGTAAACTTTTTTAGCTTGTTTATTAAAAAAAAACATTTCAAATGATCATTTTAATAATTTTAATAATTTTTAATGATTTCAATAATTTTTAATAATTTTCAATAATTTTCAATACCTTTCGTTAAATAGTGAAAGGGATCTCCGATCTTCATCTAATAAGAAAAATCAGGATTCCTCAACATGTTTCTTCTTTCTACGTTAACTCTTTCATCGTACAGACTACACTACTTTGCAATTCCTTCCATGTTTAAAACATTGCGTGCCAAACCGGGGCGGGTCTCTTGGCATATATATATAGCGTTTTTGGATTTAAGCTTTAATTTTATTCACGAATCCATATTGTAATCCCATTTATGTATTACACCTACCACGGTTCCTCCTCACGCTCCGGGTTACTGTTAAAGAATGTAAATGGGCAAGGGCGGACCCTTTGTAACCCCCTTTTTAAGATGTTTCAATAAAGATTAGCAACCACCTAGAAAAATCGTGAAACATTAGTCGGCGAATAGGCCTCTATCTCATAGGAACCGAACCAGAAATACAGTTCTTCAGTACTTCAAACTAAAACAAATATTTATTTTTTAGTTACAAAAATTCATAAATTAATACATTTATAACTCAACTCCAGTTTACATAGACATAATAAAAGAACATTTTGTAGCACAAGAAGAAATTTTTGTCATGGAATTTTTGTTTGTAAAAAGTGTTTTGAATTTTTTTTCTTTTATTAAAGTAATAAGTGAACAAAAATTAAACGAATTGAATTATACTAATAACTTTAAAGGCCTTGGGCCTTACAAATAGTGGCCTACCAGTAGATAACTTAAAGCGTAGGTATGATAATTTTTATCGAGTAAAAAAAGGTTTTTGTTAAAATATTTCCTCAATTACTTCTATATAAATACAATAATTTTGACTCGTATTTAAGTGACTTTGTTTTCAGGTTATGTTGTAATCAGTTACACAATCTAGCACATTAATTTTTCTGTTTGATTTGTCTCAGCTTTTTTTTGCTATAAATCTATCCCGCTTTTTAATTACTAGTAGCTAAATACGTTGTTTCTTTAAATAACATTTACATCGTAAAATTATGTCATATTATATCATATGCAAAGAAAGAACAAGACTTCCCAATTTAAACACGCAAATGGTAGAAGACAAATGAGATGGATGTATTCCTGCGCTCGCATCAGTGAACGCAAATAAAACATGCTCATAAAATGTTTTATTTCGCTGGCTAACATTCCGAATACTTGAGCACCTGACTTCAAATACGCATTACGACCTTTTAACCCACGCCCACAACTAACCTTGGAAGCACTGTAAGAAATCATACAATGTGCAAGAAATAAAAAATAAAATAAAAACTAATAATTCTTTGATAATTACTAATTTGATAATTACCCATTTAACCTCTGTACGGAAGAGGTCTCCGCTATGTATGTACGAATATGTTGTATTTTACTTTAACTCCTCATAAACCATGTTTAGGGTTTTATTCAATATCCACCGATGCTTGATAACAATATAGACTCACTAAATTTCTATACTTTCAGACACAGTAAACAAACTTCTAGTAATATTTATATTGAAGCACATATAAACATAAAAAAATATCGCATATTTTCCAGTCACAATAATCAGAATACCTTAACCATAATCAAAAGTATGCACTAACATCGGCAGTAATGATAAAATATTAATAACTTCGTCTCTCCAACCGCAACTGATAGCCGTCTAAATCTCTTAGCATAATATCAAATGTGACGGACAAAGGTTTTTCTAACTCAGCTTTTAAAGGAGGTAGGAGCTTGTAAGTTCTTAACAAAGCTGTGATCGCTGTTTTCATCGACATCATGGCGTACTGGTATCCTGGAAATAGATCAGTATAGTAGATAGTTATTTATGATAGCTAAGCTAATGTGGGCTGACGATGATGGCGAAATAAAACATTGGAGTAAACTATGTTTAAAGCCCGATTGACGTGGGGAGTAGTGACCCTGCCTGAGCGCTAGAGGGCGTGAGTTCGATCCCCACTACTGGAAAAATATTGTGTGATGAACATAGTGTTGTTCCAGTGTCTGAGTGTTTATATATGTATAATATGTATTTATTTACAAAGAAAAGTATGTTTAAGTATGTTAATCAGTTTTCTTGTACCCATAGTACAAGCGGTGCTTAGTTTGGGACTACTAGAGAATGTTGTTTGAAAAAAAGCATCAACAACTATTCGAGCAATATATAGGTGAATAGTAGATATGCAATTTGTGACTTGCGATAACTTAGAAATCGAACAAAATATATACAAAAATACTGCTAGCGACATCTATACATTTTTTTTTTATGCGAAAAGTTGTCAAACGAGCAGACGGTTCACCTGATGTTAAGTGAATACCGCCGCCCATGGACATCTGCTACACTCGAGGGTTACAGATACGTTGACAACCTTTTGAAAATTGGGCTCCGGCTACCTCACTCACCAGACGAAACGCGAAAGTATTTGTCATACTTCCACTTTACGCCGGTCTTCTGTGAGGTCGTGGTACTTACCCGGACGGGCCTGCCCATTCGTGCAACAGCCGAGGCTGCTGCGTGGCCCTACCACCGTAAAATATTATATCTATACATAATGTGGGGCCTATTCAGTGAAACAACCAGAAAACTTAAAATATATATTTCGAAGTTTTTTGTTATTCATACACGACAGTGAAGTAATAAAATATATAAAATGCTGTAGAAAGAGCATAAGCCTCGTTAGTTAAATAGAGAAAGTTTTTATTAATATCATTAATACAAAAATATATATATTAAATACAATCAATAATATATATTAAATTTATTAAATACAATAATATATATTAAATTAAATATTAAATACAAAGGGGCATAAAATACAATCTAACTAAAGTTATTTCTTGTTTGCCGTATCTTAAACTAGTTTAGAAAAAGTGATTGTGAAGAGCTTACCAATACAATTTCTAGGGCCCAAGCTAAAAGGCATAAAAGCACCAGGATGTGTGGGGCCGTTAATAAACCGATCCGGGTTGAAGACGTCCGCATCCGGCCCCCAGTATCGCGGGTTGCGATGCAAAGACCAAATGCTTAACAGAACACCGGTGTTTTCGACCAGTGTCACGCCTGTAGCTGTCAAACAGACGGAAGATCACACAACAAATTTAAATAAAACCATCTTAAGGTAAAAACAAAATGTAAATAAAACAAGTTTTTCCTACTACTAAAACCTATGCCCTGTATCGTTTTAGTAGTTTGCGGTTTTAGGATACCTTTTTGTTTTTGAATTTAAGTTAATTTACCATAAATATTTAAGATGACTGGATGGGAATGAAGGAAAATCCAATGCATTTCCAAGAAAGATTTTAGTTTTTGTTTCCTCTGTATTCTTCGTCTCAGTTACAAACTTTGACCTTTATATATAAACTTAAAAAAATCTAGTCAATTTTCTGTTGTTATAACTACTAAAACTTTAAACAACACCAAAAGCACAAAGAGCGTGACTTTAAAATATGTATAAAATAATAGTACGAAGTCACTTAATTTAAGTCTTATGGTTCTCTAAAAAAATATTCGTGTACATATATAAGAATAGTTGTGTGAGTTGAATCTTTATAACAGTAGTATAGAATCTAAACAAATCTACAACGTTGGTAATAACGAGTAAGTAGAACTGCAGAAATAATTTACTTGTTAACTATGCCGTTAGGGCAAATTGAATAAACATACCAAAACGATTTCAAACAAAATGCTTTAAAAACATTTCTCTTCTGCAACTACTGATTATAACATAATAAAACAAATTATATACTTTATAATGGAGGAAATTTTCTAATACCTGTTGCTTTTTATAATGCAAAGTAACGTGACGTTGAAAATTAATCGTAATGAGAAAGAGTTAATAAGGCGTTGGCATTTACAAGCAACTAACTCTCTGAATTAATTTGATTTCAGTGATCGAAATTATTAATTACTTAAAACATATAACTAGTGCACTTTATTAAAGCGAAATTAAAAAAATATGTATCGAATACTATTAATTGTGTATACAGTGAAAATATCAATTAAATACTTACGTAATGGAACATTTTTATCAATTTTTCTTGTTATAACAGGGACTGGTGGGTAAAGTCTTAATGTTTCCTTTATTACAGCGTCTAAGTATTTAAGTTTTCTCAGATCTTCCATTGTGACAGGTCTACTACTTTCACCAAATATCGAAAAAATCCTGTTAAATATAGTAAATGTTTTTGTAGCATTCTTAATAATATTCCCGCTTTTGTGTAAATCTTATGTTATTTATAATATTTTATTTTATTACACGTGACAATTAATATTGTTAAAGACCGAAAGAAGTGACTTAAAGTGAATACATTGTTTGATATTATAAACCTTTTCAGGCCACAGACATAATTCACTAGTCTTTATAGTATTTTACTAAATAAAAGAAAGAAGAAAGAAAATACATTTATTTACCAAAAAAAGGACGCACACAATAAAAAAGAAAGAAAAACTAAAATTAACAAAAAATAAAAGAAAATAAAATAAATATAATAAAAGGATTTGACATATTATTTTTGATGAACAAGGTGACATAATCCTAGTCTATTAATTTCTACTCACTCATCGCAAAGTTTTTCCTGTACATCTGGATAACGCGAGAGAACGGTACAAACGAAAGCGGTCCCAACCGACGATGTGTCTGTACCGGCGATGGCAAGAACCAGAACTTCTTCCCTTAGTTCCTCGTTCGTAAGCCCGTTCTCGCTTGGTTCGTCGACGAACAGCTCAATAAAAGTTTTTGGATATTCTTGGCTCAAATCTAAACAGAGATTTGTAGTATTTTCATAATCTAAAATATTGATTAAATGTAGCAGCAGACGTAGAAGGCTAATGTCATATTGCGATTTTCTGGTCTTAGTTAATCCGAAATTGATGAAATACTTTACAGTAGAATACGTTCGCGTTTCGTCTGGTGAGTCAAGTAACCGAGGACTAAGCCTTTAAAATATTGTCAACGCATATAAGCCTTCAGTATGTAGGTATTGTAGCCCCAAGTCCATGTATTATTATTTCTTGTGAGAACTCCGTTTAAAAGTACCTCAATAATCCGTTCATACCAATCGGATCGGAATCTGCAGCCATCACTGCTTTTATTGAAATCATCTATTGATTGTAAGAGTAAAACAATATCGTACTCTAATACGTCAGAATGTGGATTGCGTCGTTAACATTTTTTTTTTAATATTTAAAAGTAATATTATTTAAAAATGTGTGGAAAAAATTTTCGTCAAATTAGGTTACCAATTTTTTACACAAACACTTTTAGGAGACATCTGGTTACCCTAGACACAGAAAGAATTGTTTCCACATTAAATACATAAGTCGCAGTTACTTTTGATTGCTTATCTAAACAATGAAAGAAACTATTTTGTTTGTAATTGAAAAAATTGTAAAACATTCATGTAATTAATTGATAAAATTTATTCTTTATTTTCTTAATAAAAGAAAGTTAAATACCATTCCTTGTCTGGTCATCACATTTCGTTATGGATGATCCTTTTTTTGACTCGATAATCTGAAACACGGTAAAAAAATCTGAAATCGAGTATTGAATTGAATGTATTAAAAAAAACAATATACTTTAACGTAGAATCGATAAAAAAATCCAATTTCCTATGAAAAGTATATTTTGACACACATCACTTACGATGTTCAGAAACTTAGCTTTGCCTATAGTTTTTACGTTGGCGCAGGTCATAAGCCGTGGTTGAAATATTTTTGAATATGAAACAAATGAATATATAGAAATTTTCCAAAGGAATATATATGAATTTCATATATATTCCTCGGCAAATTTAGACAATAAATGTTATGAATGTAGATAACATACACATTCAATACATATTCTCAACTTTTAGGAAACTCACACCATCCATGATCAAAGACGATACTGAGGTACGCGACGTTTAACTTTTACAGTTAACTGCCGCCACAGTTTGCTTGATTAATGTACTGTATTATCTTAAAACTATCTTTTACCTCATCGACAAAACTCCAAAGCACTTTTTTACTGTAGTTGTATTTGTGGTAGCTGGGGTGAAATCTATAAACAGCGTTATATTGCAATATCGGGTTACTCATACGCGATGTCGCTAAACGACAATATTCCTTAAAAGCGCCTACAAACTCACTCTGATCTCTTTGGAAATGCTCTCCCAACACTGTTTCTGTAATGAAAAAAAGAATAAGATAAGTATATAAACCAGAAAAAAATTAGTCACATTGTCATCCCTGTCATAAATTCTTCAATAAATCATATTATAAATCCTTCATAAGGGTGAGAGAAGTACAGAAGTTCGTAGAAGTAGGGCTATCTAGAGAGTCCCGATCTTTAGGTGATTGTAGAAGACATCAAGTAACAGGTGTAACAGGTGTAACAGGTGTCCAATTTGATCCAATATAAAATAGTAAATATGGAACTCCGTCTACATTCTGTGACGTTGTTTGCTGGTTGTGTTCCGACTCCATCTCGAATTCAGAATCACAAAGGCGAAGTGCACGATTAATGAATGTATGTAGAGAGAAGACCATAATGAAAAGGTTTTCTAAAATTTTGGTAACTATGGTAAACACAACGTCTATGTATCTCCGCCAGTATCTGGGTTATAAATGCGCAGACGCAAACAACGCTTCTTTGTTGTCAAAACATTGGCCACAACTGGTGCTATTGGTTATATATATATATATATATATATATGTGTGTGTGTGTTTATATATATATATATATATATATATAGGCTACAATAATAATCTCCATTGTAAGTAAATCCCCTCGCGAGAAGAAATAGCCACTCGTAAGGTAAAACTATAAAGTTCCCAGGTATTCAATACCTAGTTGTTTACGAATAATTGTTGTTTTATGATATCAATAGTTTCTGCCACTGGTGACTAGGACACCATGTCAACACCGTCCTCATGTCACTGACCATTACCGTATCGTTGTGGACTTTGACGACCTCCAAGAGATGGATGAAATTTCCAATATCTGTCTGCGAGATAATTGCCACGTGACGTGAACTTTTGGAAGTAGACGAGTCGATCGTCTACTTCCAAAAGTATTTGAATCACAATGGTGTGGCACTTAAAGGTCAGTTGTGTTAGTGTATTTTTGGCCGTTCCTATATTGTAAAAGGCAACTGTGGAAACGGTGATGACGATGGTGAAAGCTGTGGTAGGGCCGCACAAAAGTCTTCGCTGTTGCACAAATGTGGTGAGTGAGGTACCCAGGGCGTACTTATTTTAATGGGCGTCGGATATCAATTACCATTAACTTGTTTACCGCCTTCTCATATATAAAAGGGAACCAAGCCGATTCTCCTATTATCTAACAGCTTGCATTAGATCTTGTTTAACTTGGAAGTTATATGAGCTGTTGGGTTGTAGTTTACCTTTTTATAAATTTTGGTATCACTAACCAGATGTTTAACCTGCTGTTTATACTATTGAACCTCAGCTGACACTACTTGTGGGAATAGATTCATCACATTACTCTCTGTATTACAGCAAAGTTGTCTCTCAGCATTATCCGTTATGCCTTCATTTTTTTACAGGCGTTTAAATTTTTCTTAGTGTTCACTGATTATGTCCGTATTTATTATTGCTTTTTTGGACTTTCTTTCAAAATTTTGTATTCCTATGTAATGTTTAAAAAATTATCTGTTTTCTGTAGCTTCATTTAACATCCGGTACGTCCATAATAACCTGTTTTCTTATGTGACTGACGTACTAACATGTAGATGTTAAAAATTAATGTGTGTATTTATCTATGCTCCGTATGGAGTCCAAAACTATTGGATAGATTTTGATGAAATTTTCAGAAATAAATGATCCTTGTCTAGAAAGAGCCTTGCTGGTGAAGTTTGATAACAATTAGAACAATTTAATAACAGGACAATTTACGTTGGTAGGGCCACGCAACAGCCTCGGCTGTTGCACGAATGGGCAGGCCCGTCCGGGTAAATAACACGACCTCACAGAGGACCAGCGTAAAGTGGAAGTATGACAAATACTTTCGCGTTTCGTCTGGTGAGTGAGGTAGCCAGAGCCAAAATTTCAAAAGGTTGTCAACGCACCTGTAACCCTCGGGTGTGGCAGACGTTCACGGGCGGCGGTATTCACTTAACATTAGGAGAACCGTCTGCTCGTTTGACTTTTAAAAAACTTTAAAAAATGCATAAAAATATCTTTTTTTTTTTTTTTTTGAAAAATTGATGCTACCTGCACGAAATCGGGATGGATGGCTACTATTTAACATGACTGACACTGTAAATGTTGCAGTTAAAAATATACATTGTTACCGCATACGGATTCCATGGTATAAGACGTCAAGTACTTCGCTATCGAAAAGCTTCCGTTTCCAACCATAGGCATTAAGCGCCGAGTAAGTACAGTGCTCGCCCGCGAGAAAACCAGCAGGAATCGGCGTAGATTCTTCAGCGAAAATGTCGGTAATATGCGTTTACGACGTGGCCGCCAAATGTGCACTGAAAAACACAACTAAATGAGCTCCAAACACGTAAAGTGACAAGCCTATAGTATCATAAGCCTTATCGTTAGCCCTCACGGATCATCATACGGATGTGTGATAGTAATTTTCGTTAGAAAAACTCACAATGATTCAATTAATTTAAGCCAATGAGTCAGAAAAATCTCAAGACTTTTTGAAAAATTTCGGCTTAAGTTAGGAACCTAAAATTTGGACAGTGTAAAATTTGATAATTTTATTTTATATCTTGTATATCTCTAAAACCAAAATAAAAGGTTACTCTTTTGAAGGTACAACAAATGAGAAAGTTATGAAAATCCGCTATTTTCAAACGCTAATTCAGTTCTCTTAAAAAAAATTATTTTCACCTAAAATGATGGAAAATTCGATTTCGACATAGATCTAAATGCCCAGTTAAAGCATATAGCAAAAAACTAATATTAAGTTGTCAGACTTACCAGGTGCGAAGATACTTCCATTGCCTATAAGGTCGCGAACTACATATAAAAATTCAGCCTTGTCGTAGCAAGACTTTAAAACAGTCTCAGCGATAACGGCGTCGCATATAACTGAAATTGATGAATCTGCTACTTTATAGATATATCACTTTGCACCCTATTAGACGATGCCCGTGTATTTCGTATTTGCAGTGAAAAAATTAAAGCGTCATCCAGATGTGTCTTAAAGGAATTTCTTGGCAACACAATGGGGTCTTTTTGCCAACTACCACCACACGGGTACATCTATATCATAATCATCATCATTATTTCAGCCTGTTACAGTCCACTTAAAAGACATAAGTCTCCCCCACAGACTGCCATCTAAATCGATCAGTACATTGTACATAACAAGGCTAAAATTAATGTAATCCATAAAGTTTTTCCGGTTTTATAATTATCGTGTTTCTGAAACCTCCCGCGAAACGAGAAATATTTTCTTGAAACAAAGTTACTATACTCTTCGTCGGGATTGTTAAAAAACCGTGAATAAAAAGATATCTGATACAGAAGAGTTAAAATCCCTAGCTTAGAAACTATGTCCATAAAATAAGTCATCGATCGAAAGTAAGACAAAACAAACACGATGGCACAATTTTAGTTGGTAGTATTAGGAATTAGATTTCTAACAAGATTTATAAAAAGATCAAAAGTAACACAAACCCGTGTAAAATTTTCGACCAAACCATGCTCCTATCATACCGCCATTCTCAATTGCTTCGTTGCCAAATTTTTTCAGAGAATCCATGCGGCCTGAAAATATATCTTGTAAAAATAAATAAATTAAATTAACTGACTTGACCTTAACCTGAAAATATATTATGGCATATAACTGGTCTTATTATTATATATTAAAATTTAGTTTTTTATAATAGTATACAGTAACGTCTACTCGCAAATTTAAAGATTGAAAAAAACACGTCAGCGAACATGGTATTGCATAGTGTGCATTCATCTCACCTGAAGGTGTTAAAAGTATTTTATAAGCATGCCCAATAAAGGGCAGCGCAATGTATTTGCTCTTAAGCTGTTGAGACAACTTCCGGATTTTTCTCATCTTCCAATTTTCCATCTGGCAGTATATATAGATGGAAATCAGG